ACCCTACAATTAACAGCAACATTATTTATAATTGCCAAGATATGGAAGCATCCTAAGTGCACATCAATAGATGAATGGATAAAAAAGATGCAGCATATATAAGTAATGAAATACAACATAAGAAAGAAGGGTATTTTGCCATTTATGGCCCTTCATTCACTTTTTTTTTTCACTTCAAAAACCAGAATTTTATAACTGGCATAAACATTCCCATTACATCAAAAACAAGAAAATACCTAGAAATAAACTTAACCAAGGAGGTTACCTACACTCTGAAAACTATAGAACACTGATGAAGGAAATTGAAGGTGATGCAAGGAAATGGAAAGATACCTTGTGCTTCTGGATTGGAAGAATCAACATCATCAAAATGGCCTTACTACCCAAAGCAATCTACAGATCCAGTGCAGTCCCTGTCAAAATGCTCACGACATTCTCCACAGAACTAGAACAAGCAATTCCAAAATTTATATGGGACCATGAAAGACCCCGAGCTACCAAAGCAATCTTTTGTAGATTTTTTTTCTCTCTTTCTTCTTTTTGTTCTCTTTTCTTGTGATTTAATGACTAGAGAAGTTCCTGTAACATTTGTTGTAAAGCTGGTTTTGTGGTGCTGAATTCTTTTACTTTTGTTTATCTGTGAAGCTTTTGATTTCTCCATCAAGTCTGAACAGAGGGGATAGGCTCTATTTAGCATAATAAAAGTCATTAAGCTTTCACAGTTGTTACCCAAATCCCGAGGGTGGTGCCGGTAGGGCTCCAGTGATGGGCCCCACTGAGCACCCAGGCTCCTCCACCTCTGAGGGGAAGGCCCAAAATTTCATGCCTTGGTACCAGTGAGCCTCCTTCTGCTTTGTTTTTGCTCTTGCTCTTGGGGAGGTGGGGAGTGTCCTGTATTTACTGCTAAAAATTCTCCCCCTTGTACATTTCTTCTCTTCCTTTATGCTCTGTTTTTGGAGAAAATGTTCTCCCTATCTAGTTTTGCTCCTTCTTTGCCTTTCTTGCCCCTAAACAGTTAATACGGGAACCAGCAGACACTTCATTCCTGACAGGTCAGGGTAACTGTTAATGAAGTAGCTGGTGATCAGAGTTCTCCAAGGAGGAAGCTCATTCGTTCATATGTTCTCAATTCATTTGTTCATTCAGCAAGTCTTTAGTGAGGACCTGTTACATGTAAGCTGAGTTCTAGGTGCTGGAAAACAAACAGTGAAGAAAGACACAAGTCCTGCCCTTGCAGGACTTCCATTTCATGGCAGAGACAGGCATTCAGCAAACCAACACCGATATATCCTTACAGCATGTAGGTCTCCTCTGCTGCCACTAGCAACCCAGCTGTCACTCTTTCCTCCAGTCACCTCTGTGTTCCTGTCAAGAGGCTGCAGGCCACTCCTGAGAGCTGAGGGCATTAAGCTGAGCTGTAGCGGCTTCCTAATCCCTGGACCAGTACAGCTCAAGTCCCAAACCCGACCTGACTGGAAAAGACATCTAGAATGTAAACACCACCTCTCCTTTCCGTGCATCTTCCCCTTCTTTCCAGGAAACGTGGGCAGCCTCCCGTGACTCAGCCTTTCCTTCCAAGGACGTGGGAGTTGTCAATGACGTGGATAATCCCCGGGAAACCTAGATTTCATCCGGGTTTGTCCCCGATGGCTGTGCAGCCCTGGAGGACTCTCCGTTCTTCAATAAATGAGGCAAACTCATGGAGATTAGCAAGGGCTGCCCAGGCCGTTGACAACTCCCCTTCAGCAGAGTGGAAATGTCAGGAGGAAGTTGTCTGAGCACTAAAGAATCTAGACTTTGACTAGTTCACTTTCCAGCAGACCTCAGCCCTGTCCTGGGACAGATAGTCGGGAGGAGAGCAAGTCTTGGGGTTTAACTTTTGGCTCACAGCATGAGTGGATTTGCATGCTCTCCGACCCATCTCCCAAATGCACTTTAGTCTAGTGGGCCATTCAAAGCACAGGCCTTTAGATAAGATACGCAGGCCCCAATTCTGGCTCTTAACCTCTCTGAGCCTCGGTTCCCTCCTCCTTAGATGGAGCTGTAATCCTGTTTACTGGAGAGGCCTGTGTCCAGATTCACAAAGCCCAGTGCCTGGCACGCAGCAAGTCCCCCAGACATGCAGGCTTTGGTTATGTTGGCGATGACTGTGGCATTCGCTGCCCTCCTCGTTGATTCCTGCCTGCCTTACCAGGAGTGAGGCACCCCCCTCCCCCGCCAGGGGCTCCGGAGGTGTGCTTGTGTGGCACAGCAGCATGAGCTGAGGCCCCACCACCTTCATTCCACATTAGGAAGGGGAACCCAGCCCTACCAACTCAGGTTTTGCCTTCAACCCAAATACCAAAACCAAAGAGGGGCAGGAGGAAAAGGGACTGACTCTTGACCCACAGATAAGACAGAGGAGCTGGCACGATCTTGGGGTACACAGTGGGACCCCAGCCACTCAGAAATGCTGGTCAGAGAGCACCTCTCCATCTGAGACCCTCCAAGTCTAATTCCTCAGCTGGGGAAACAGTCCCCTGGACCTCCTGGGCCCATGTCTACAGGATGCCCTCCTGTGACTCTTCAGTGAGAAGGCACCACCTTTCTACCTCAGGCTGCAAGAGGACATGGGAACTGGGGGTCTTCTCCAGGCTCAGATAGCCAGACAGAACCTGCCAATAGTTTTAGTGATTTTTAAAAAGAGTTTGTATCTCAGGGTCTATTGGATTCTATGGAGGGCACAGAGGTACGTTGGGCCACATCCCTGCCCTGGGGGACCTCACCCTCCAGTGGGGAAGAGACAATACGAGCACAAGTAACTGGGTATTAAGTGGCCCCAGCACTGTGCTGGAACCTTCCATGCTTTGTCACTAATCTTTACACACACACACACAGTTATCAGCTCCTTCTGACGAACAAACTAAGGTTCTAAGAGGTTCTGATGCTCAGGGCCTCCCAGGCGCCAAGCCAGGGTTCACACTCTGGTCTGCCTGCCTCTAGAGCTTCTCCCTTTTCACTGCACCATGCTCAGAGAAGGTGGGTGACTTCCAGGGTCACACAGCTGGAAGAGCCAGGACTTGGGCCCTGGTCTCCTTCTCCAGGTCCAGGACCGCCTCCTCCCTAGTCTTACAGTATCGGACACAAGCACCGCAACTGCTCCTCGGAACAAGTGAACACACTCCCTGTGATTCCGATGCCCATTAAGCCATTATCCCTCCCAGGCCCCTGCAGCACGGGCCCCACGGGAGATCTGGACTCTAGGAGAGAGCGCCAGATGGCGGCCTGGCCTCTGACTCAGGCTTTCAGAGCTGACAGCATCGCACCCAGCCTGGAGGCTGTCTGCTCCGGCAGATGGAAGGCTGCTGTTAGTGGTGATGTTGGCCATCTGTTGGCTGCTGGGAATGGTGAACCCCTCCCAGGTGCTGCCTGGGGCCAATTTAGCTCAGGATTACTTGGTAAAAGCACGTCATTCACTTGGGAAGCTTCTGGGAAGCCAAAGACTTCAGAGACAGGCCCTGGGGCCTGAGGTCATAAAAGAGGGTCGAGAAGGCCCCTGCTTCAGCTGGGGGAGGGACACCTGCCACATCTGCTCATCCTTTCAGTGACTCTCAGTAAAGTAAGGACCATTATCTCCATTTTACATCCGAGAAAGCTGAGGTTCAGTTTTGTTAAACACCTGCATTAGATACACCCTCATGGATCTGGAATGGGAACCAAGGCCTCTGTAACTCGAAAGCCAGTGCCCCTTCACCTGCACCCAGCTGACTCCAGTCCCCTTAGGGGTCAGTGGCTGAAGTGCTGCGCTCCCAGTCCAGTGCTTTTGTCACAAACAATGTTGGGCGCCGTACCGCCTTGATTTTAGTGAGTGATGAAGGTATCAACTCTTTAATAAGATAAAGGATTTTTTTAAATGATTTATTGGCTTTTAAAAACTTTAATAAAATGACAACTTATGACCAGTTATCAAAGTCTGAGATGGGCCAGGCAATGATTTGATTAAGAAATATTAAAAGTATCACTTGATCGGCTCTTCTATTTCTAAGACTTGGTCCTAAGGCATTGCTTATAATTGCGGGAATTGGAAATGACCCAGATGTCCATGCTGGGGTGGGTGGGATGAAGGGAACTGTGGTACCTTCGTACGAGGCGTGCTCTTGAACTGTCGCAAACAAAGGTGTTGCTCAATACCGACTAACCTGGAGAGGCACCGTCACGTCATAAGGACAAAACCAGCTTCAGAACTGACGTTCAAGCCTTCCTTTTTGTTTCTGTTATTTTTATTGATGTGTATGTGCGTTCTTGTGACTGGCTTATTTTTACCTAACAGAATGGCCTCAAGGCTCATCCATGTTGTAACATGTGACAGTAACATTCCATTCTGTGCCACATTCTGTTGATCCACTCACCATCAACAGACCCTTGGGTTATCTCCACCTCTTGGGTTTTGTGAATAATGCTGCTACGAACATGGATTATTTCCACTTTTAAAGAACTTGAAAGAAGCGTTTCGGTGCAAAATCCATTAACTACACATCCTGGAGAAGCGAAGGATCTTAGGATTGGAGTTGAGAGCCCTCTGTTCTTGCTGCAGTTTTCCCTGTCATGGGGATCACCAAGTCCCTTTGGTCCCCTCCTTTCTCCTTTCTTGAGCTTCAGTCTCCCTATGTGACAGTGAGGTGACTGGACCAGGTGGTCTCCCAGGGCCTTCCAGCCTCCAGGTGGTTTTCTAAATCCATGATCCACTCCCACTCCTCACCTCACACTTCCTGCTCCAGCTCCATCCCTCTTCCGAGTTCCTTTCCCCCTGCCCCGTTTTGGTGCAGGGATCCTGAGGTGGGAGGACAGCCTCCTAGGCTGGTGTCTTTGTCTTGGATTTGGAAAGCCAGATGTGGGAAGTGGAGAGACAGCGTTCCGATGTCATGAAATGGGCCTCAGAGTTGACTCTGAGTTGGGGGAAAGATACCCACTGGATTCTGAGGCTAGGGCGAGTCTGAACAGTGGCACGTGTTGGTTATTTCACCAGGCAGTTACCCAAGGTAATCTCCAAACTTCAGCTGACCTAGAAAACGGTCTAGGTTTCTCGATTATCCTGGAACCACAGGAATGTTAAATTCTCTCAGCACAGCCCTGGGAAGCTGACTGCTTCATTCCAGACATTCTGGTTTGGTTTGCAACCACTGACCCCACCCCACCTTCCCGCCACACCCCAGAACTCCCACAGCTCCGCACTTGTTCTTTCATTCCTTTGAGCCTTTGCTCAAGCTGTTGGCTCAGCCTCAACTGGAAAGCCCTCCCAACGCTCAGCTCCCACCTGCTGCTGGACCATCTCGGGCCCTCCTCATTCCTCAGGATCTGCTTAAACTGCTCTGCCTTTCTCTAGGATATGCTGGTCTTCCCCCGCCTCCACCCCAGGGAGAAGTCACTGCTTGCTGCCCTGTGCCCCCACAAACACCCTTGCTTCGCTCTGCAGTAAATCATTCCATGACAGTGATTCACCTTTGCTTCCAGCAGCCTTTGTTTTCTTTGAGGGTGGGAACTGTGACCGGTCCTTCCCTGGGCCCCAGGGCCTGGCACTGAGTGATGCTTAATCAAGGTTGGATGGACAGATAGAAGAGAGAGAACCAGAGAAGGGACAGTTACTGGTATCAAGGTTTCAGGAGATGTGTGCTAATCTGTTCTTCTCATTAGCTTCTAAAATAAAGCCATAGACTTAGGGCAATTCTCCAAAATGGAATTGTTCTTAGCAAATATCCCTATCCAGCTGATCACTGATTTAAATACTTTGGCGTGCATACAGTTAACATGCCTCCTGGAAACCATGTTTTTCAAATGAGACTGGCATGAAGCACAGCAGTGTGACCTAAAAGCCCTAACTTCCAGGTCTGAGGTTCACGTGTGATTGGCTGCTGGGCTGCCTGGCTTCTGCTGTTCTTCCTGGTCCTGACTGAATACACATCTCTGCTTGGGGGCGAGACAGGTCCCTGGGTGCTGGGGAGGGTGGAAGCTCGAAGACGCGGGGAGCCAAACCTTGAATTTCCACGCAAATCAGGGGCTCCTGCCAAGGAATCAATCAAGGTCTGTTTCTTCTGAACTGTCTCACGTTTCTTTGGACCAACCCTACAGGCATCGTTTGGTGAGCCGAAGACTGGGCATGGATGACTTGAATGAGGCCCTGAGTGTGTGGCTTGGCATGAGGATGGCCAACGTGTTTCCTTTCTAATGCCACCTCCGCTCGATTAGTAGTGACTGCTCAGATGCCATGTTCAGAGGGGTTCTGAGGCCTCAACCAGGCTTAGCAGGAAGGAGTATTGAGATTAATTAGTGATGTCTGCCTCAGGAGTGACAGAGAAGAGCCAGGCCCATGTGCCATGCCGCTGACCACCCTGCTTTCATTATTGACTGAGTACAGGCTGCTAGGAGTCCAGATGACTTGGGATTAAATTCCACTCTTCTGGGCCTCTGTACATCTCTGAAACAGACATGTATCTGTCAGGGTACAGGCCCAGCTACTGTAACATAGAAGCCTTAAAGTACCATGGCCTAAAACAAATTGGAAGTTTATTTCTGACACTGAAGAATCCAAAGGTAAGTACACAGTTCTGAGCTGGTGGGGCGACCGTGTCATCATCAACATGCAGCTTCTGCTCGTGAGCCCCACGTGGCTACCGAGATCTTGCCATTTCCCAGCCAGAAGGAAGGGGAACTGGGCCAGGGGAGCATGTGTGCTGCGGTTTTAAAGGTATGATCCAGAAGCCGCCCACAGCATTTCTCAGATCCCATTTAGGCAGAATTGTCACTTGGCCATATCTGGCTATGAGCTTGGCTGGGAAATGTAGTCTTTCACTGGGGAACCATGTATTCAACTAAAACTCTTCTGAGCAGAAAAAGAGAATATGCATGCTGGAATTAGATGCCCCCGGGGGTGACGCCGGCCACCTCCCAGGGCTCCTAGGAGAACTGATGACAGCTTATGCCCCACTGCTGCTGGCCCCTAACAGCCCTTCCCCAAGTTCACAGGGTGCTTCGTTTGTCCTGCCCAGGAGCTGGTGAAGATCCTGCACAAGGCTCTGGAGGCTGCCCAGCAGGAGAAGAGGGTGTCCAGCATGTACCTGGCAGCTGCCGAGGACAAGGACCGGCTGGAGCTGGTGCGGCACAAAGTGCGGCAGATCGCGGAGCTGGGCAGGAGGGTGGAGGCCCTGGAGCAGGAGCGGGAGAGCCTGGTGCAGACGGCGAGCCTGCGGGAGCAGCAGGTGCAGGAACTGCAGCAGCATGTGCAGCTGCTCATGGACAAGAACCAGGCCAAGCAGCAGGTCATCTGCAAGCTCTCTGAGAAGGTCACCCAGGACTTCATGCGGCCCCTGGCAACTCCAGATGCGGCCAACAGGGACTTTCTGAGCCAGCAGGAGAAGATGGAGCACCTGAAGGTAGGGACCCCTCCCTCCAGGCCCTGGGTCTCGGGGAGGGCATTGCTCTCGACCCTAAGGGTTTTCTAGATAGAGCAGGGCTAGCCCTTAATGCTAGAATATTCATAGTTGAAATAGATGTTGATGGAGATGTTGCTAGACTCTTCCTCACTTTTTTAACCAGAAGGCCCAAGGCAAATTTGATCACTTCATGATATCCTTGGCTGGAAGTGAAAGAATCTCTAAGTAATCAAATTAGAGATGAAAGACCCCAAGGTGGAGCCAGAACTCCCAAGTGCTCTGGGGCCTGGCCCAGTCAGCTTCCTTTAGTGCCCCAGCAATGCTCTCGGGAGCCCAAGGTGCCAGGCGGCCCTCCTCGGCAGTCCTGCACACAAGTCGTGACCTTGGCTGGCTGTGACTTGCTTCTGATAGTCATCGCCTCTCCTGCTTACAGGTTGTTTCCTGTGTGGCAGGCGCTGCCCTAAGTGCTTTACTTGCATCACTTCATTGAACCCCCGCACCAGCCCTGCGAGGCAGCTGCTCATGTGCCCCCCACTTGACAGAGGAGAACTCTGAGGCTGAGATGGGTGAAGTAACTTGCCCAGGGCGGTGTGCTGAGCAGGTCAGGGGACGGGGGTTGGGCTGTAGCTCACATCTCTCACTAGCCTGTCTGCTCTGCTGCCTGCTAGCTTCTTTGGAGCTTCTAGCCACCACCGACATCCCTGCCTCACCCTCGTCCAGGCTGCAGTTCTCACCTGGGAAAGGCCGCCCTATCCTGCAGGGACCAGTCGCAGCAAAGCAGGCAGGAACTTTATTTTAGGTGTGATGTCGGCCACAGGCTGCAGCCTCCTCTCTGGAGGGTGGTGACAGGAACTGCCAGACCCCCGGAGGCCTGAGGCTGGGGATAGGTGCGCAGAGCCCCCACCGTCTCCACAGGCAGCCATATAGCCAGAGTCAGCCCAGCCCCCAGCCCTGGCACTCAGAGCCACACGTGTATACATCGTGTTATAGTGGAATTCCCGTGCTGCTGAATCAAAGAACTGCTGTTGAAGGAGTGAAGGGGGAAAGAAAAAGAAATCCAGGAGCTCTTGAGAGAACAGTGGGCCATGTGGTACAGTGGCCACTCCACAAACTCTGAGGTCGGGCAGCCTGTGTTTGAATCCTGGCTCTGCCTCTTCCTAGCTCTGTGATCTTGGCCAAGTTATTTTACCTTTATATAGCCTGGCCTATCCAGTCCTACTCACAGAGCTGTTACAAGGGGAGGTGACATGAAACCCAGACTCCTTCCCTTTCTTTCAGCATGAAAAACCACATGACCAGTCTACGAACCTTCTCCCTTATTTAGTCGAAAATCAAAGATTCTTTAGAGTTCAAAATGAAAAAAAGACTTTCAAGTGCAGATGCGGCTAGGCTGTTAGAAAGCTCTCAGTCCCTCACATAGCTGTGAAAGTCGCTTCCATCAGCTTGCTCTCCTGCCCTACTCTGCCCTGCTAAGTTGTCTTCTTTCTTCGTCGGTCCTGCTGGAATCCACTGTTGAAGACCCAGTAGAACAGCGTGGGGGTCAGAGAGGTAGACTCACTGGTGCCTCCAGACTGCCTCAGAATTGACTGGAAGCACGGATGCACCTAGGACACTGAGTGTGCCCCTGAGTTTGCATTTTCAGGAGTTTAATTTATCAGTGAGCCCAGATATGAAGAAACTCTGGGTACGGTTCACATCAACCATGCTTAACATTTACAGCTGATCCTTGGAGGTTGTTAGCGATCAGTCCTTCAGCTGACACCTCAGGTGTTTTGTGCTAGAAAGAGTTGCATGTGCTAGAGTGAGTCCCTTATTTTTTAGCCTTTAGGTGTCTGAGCTAGAAAAAAAAATAGAAGACTCATCAAAATTCCATTGTCTTTATGTTTGGAACAGAGCGTGTTCACATTGCCTGTTTGCCCTTGTGGTTGAGGGCACCTCTCTTTAGGGAAATGCCTCCTCGTTGTTGAAACTGTCAGTGTGAGAATCATTGACCTCTTGAATATCAGAGCCAGAAAGACTCAGAGATCTAGCCTGCCTCTCATCTGCTGGCAGCGTCGGCCGAGCCTTGGAGAGGGGAAAGGACTGGGCCAGGGTCGCACAGCACAAGCAGCAGGATTGCAGCTAGACCCCGGGTCTCCCCACATCCAATCCACCGCCTTCCCCACTAGCACAAGGGCTAGTCCATGCAGCATTTCCCGAAGAGGGTTCCCGGGCCCCTGGGCCCTGTGAAGGCAGGCAGGCAGACTCCCGTCTTCCCTGTCCCCTCTCTGCAGTTGTGTTTTGCTCTTTGGCTTCACTGGTGACAGTCAAGTAGCTTTTCTCTTCTCTGAGATCTCTCCTTTTCCTTCCTGCAGTTCTGAGCCAAGAAGAACACTCAAGGTAGGGCAAGGAGCCGAATGGGAAGGGGCACCCAGATGCCACCCCCACCAGGCCCACGGCTGCTCCCCGGGGTGCTCGCACCTGCCCTCCCTGTCTGGGCTGGAAGCAGGGTGCCCTCTACAACATGCCCAAAGCCTTGGAGAGCCAGTGTGCACCTTCTAGGCCTGGGGCACAGGAAGAGGGCTGCTGTCAGGAGGCAGAGCTGAGCGGTGCAGAACAGTCTCAGACCAGCCCGCAGTCGTTTTCAAGTCCCAGCATGGACTGAGCACGCCTGGGTTTGGATCCTGCCTCTCTCCCCGTACCAGCTGCGTGACTGAGGAGAATGTACCTTTTCTGAACCTGTTTCCTCACCTGTGAAGAGGGAGTGCTGGTACTTGAGCACTTCCCCCACAGCACTGTGGTCAAGGTTAAATTACACACAACAATGTGTGTGGGGGAAGGGGCCTGGCGCTTAGTGTAGAAACTCAGGCAGCTGGTAGCGCTTTGCCTCCCTCACCTGGAGGCTTGTTGCATTTCCCAGGCATTTGGAAGAACTCACGGTAGCAGCAGTGGGAAACCTTTCAGCAGGTGTGGGAGGAGCACAGTGGGAAGAGTGGATCCGAGATGTGAGAGTCAGGAGGGAGATGACACTCTCACTGCGCGCGCCCCACACCACCCACGGTTCTCCACCTTGTGCACAGATGAGCTAACTAGGAATCCTTCCAACAACCCCTGAGGTGGTACTGTTATCATCCTTGTTCTCTGGGTGAGGGGATAAGGCACAGAAAGGGTGAGTGACTTGTGCCGGGGCTCAGTGGGAAGGGCAGCTTTACATCCAGGCAGTGGGCAGGTGTGTCTGTGGTGCGATGTTGCTATGCTGCCAGGTAGGCGAGGTCAGACAAGCATGCTTGCCTTCAGCCAGAACACTACCAAAGACAACCCTTGAAGAGGGGACTAGACTTTGTCATCCAGGTAGATTCCAGCAGGGAGGGAGTTGGAAAGTGGGCAGGGGGTGCAGTGTTTAGGACTTGGCTTTAGAATCAGACAGACCTGGGCTCAGTCTCACTCTGCTTTGTGACCTTGGGCAACTTACTTATCATTTCAGGGCCTCTGAGATCTCACCTGTGTTATTCTCTGGGCTGCTGGGAGGATTAATGAGATAATGTGCTCAGTATAGGGGTGGAGGGTGGGGGTGAAGGTGCGGGGAGCCCGCACAGCTTCTTTGTTCTTAAGTTTTCTGAATCTCCAGACACCAAAATGTAAGACTGTCGTGGGAGTGGGGAGTGGTCCTAGAAAATCCTGGTGCTTACAGGAGGTGGGTCCTCATGCTGCAAGCGTGGGGATTTGCAGCATCCTCACTGCCCCTTCCACATAAGGATATGAAATGAGGGTCGTGGAGGGGAAACAGGCAGGCACTTTTTCAGAAGAGCAGCTGGCATTCCCCAGCAGCATTTCTGACAAAAGGAGCCTGGAGTTTGATCCAGGGCAGGGTAATGGCTGGAGAGTAGGATGAAGTCCAGGCTGGGGATATAGAACAGCCTGGGTCCCAGCTGGGAGGAGAGAGCAGAGAGCAAGCTCAGCCTGAGGACAGCCTTGCAGCCTAGGCACAGGGAGGGAGATGAAAGCAGAGGCAGCCAGGGTGGGGGACACCATGGAAGCCCCAGCAGAGGGGTGAGAGACCACGTGATGAAGTCAGCCTGGGGCATTTTTTCCAGCTAATGAGTCCTGGGAGCATGTGGTCTTCCCATTGTGTCAGCCATCTAGGCAGAATGCAGCAGACCTGGACATGAATTGGAGCTTCCAGGCTGGAAGGGATCTTAGCCAGAATGAAGAGGATCAGAATGACCTGTGAGCCATGCACAAGTGACCCATCCCTGATAATGAAGTGCCACAGGCTAGGTGTGCTTTTTTTAATTTCCGATAAATCAGGGCCTATCCAAAGTCATACCTGCGAGAGTCCCTCATACTCGCCCAGTACATTTTCTTGGGTGGAACAGAAAGGGGTTGAGTTTCAGCTACTAGATGCCCTGGAATTGCTAGGTATTGTTGTGAGCACGCGTTGTCCGTTGCTTCTGCAGTGTTCATCTAAGCAGATTGAGATCCATGGTTATGGCTGCTTTTTTCTGAGGCTCAGCCTCCTGCTTGAACCTCCCCAGGGCTTGGCCAACTTCTCTCTGCACGTCCCAGCGGCGTGATCTTACTCCCTCCACTGGACAGCTTTCGAAAGGAAAGCTCTAGGCTCAGAGATAAGCATGCCAGCATTATTCATAATAGAGACAAACCAAGAACAAGCCAGGGCTCAAAATGAAAAACAACAGGAGAAAGATTACATCTAAGTTATGATAAGTTCACCTACTAGAGTAGTCATCAGACATTAAAAATGATCATTGGGAAGCTTCTGTAACAACATACAGAAGTATTTATAAAGTGACACTAAGTAAAAAATTTTCACCCAGTATTGTTCTCTATGATCACAAATATATGACAAAATATATTTATTTAAAAACAAACACTAATTGAATGCTGTGTTTGGTCCTTGCACTCAGTGTACACGTTACCTTACTTAGTCTCCAGCTGCAGAGTAGAGTAGTATTGGTATTTTTCCCCTTTTACAAATGAGGAAACAGAGGGTCATAGTGGTTCAGTGAAGCTTCCCAGTCAGGAATTCAGAGCCAGGATTTGAACTGCACTCTTAACATTCTCTCCACCATATCATGATGGGATCAAGATTAGAGAAGGGGGTTATCAGTAACTTTTTTCTCTCTCAGATTTCCTTTTCCATTACTATTATTAGAAATTTCTAAAGGAAGTAAGTTTTGGCAGCTCATTTGAGAGTGAGGACCAACTCAATAAACGCTTTGCTCTCTTTTCCAGGATGACATGGAAGCATACCGGACCCAGAATCGCTTTCTCAACTCCGAGATCCACCAGGTCACAAAGATTTGGAGAAAGGTGGCTGAGAAGGAGAGGGCCCTCCTGATGAAGGTGAGGGGCGGGAGCCCTGTCCTGGCTCTATTCCCAGCCGCCCTTCCTGTCCTCTCACCGTCTCACCACTCTTTCACTCTCCTCATTATTACTTCTCTCCCTCTGGACTGTGCCTTTGATGATTGGCCTTCCAAATCCCAGGGATCTGCGCTCTGCTGACTGCTGCTTCTGATCATGGAGGAGCAGAGGAAGAGGCAGGCAGCCACTGTTCCACCTCCCCACATTGCTCCCCATACAGGCCTGTCCTGAATCCTCTTTTAGCTGAGGTTTCTTTAATCAATTCCACTCCCAATTATTAGATTTCGGATGTCCAGTTTTCAACAAAATATCAGAAAGCATTCAAAGAAACAGGAAGATATGGCCCATTTGGAAGTAAAAATAAATCGACAGAAAGTGTCCCAGCAAAAGACCTGATGGCAAATCTACCAGACAAAGACTTTAAAACAATTGTCTTAAAGGTGCTCAGAGAACTAAAGGAAGATGTGGAGAGCCAAGAAAGTAGTGTGTGAACAAAATAAAAATATCAAGAAAGAGAGAACCTAGAAAGAAACCAAAAGAGATTCTGGAGCTAAAAAGTATAGTAACTGAAATGAAAAATTCACTTAGAGAGATTTACAGGCAGATTTGAGCAGGCAGAAAGAATCAGTGAATGTGAAGATAGGACAGTGGGAATTACTGAGTCAGAAAGAGAAAAGACTGAAGAAAAGTGAACAGAGCCCGGGTGACCTGTGAGACACCATGAGGCAGAACAACATATCTATCATATTATGGGAGTCCCAGAAGGAGAAGAGCAAGTGAAAGGGGCAGAGAGAATATTTGAAGAAATAATAGTTGAAAACTTTCCAAATTTTATGAAAAAACATGAATATAATTGGCCCTCCATATCCACTGTTTGTGACAGTGGATTGAAAATATTCTCAAAAAAAATTCCAGAAATTTCCAAAAAGCAAAACTGAATTTGTTGCATGCTGGCAACTATTTACATAGCATTTACATTGTATTTGGTATTATAAGTAATCTAGAGATGATTTAAAGTATCCAGGGGGATGTGTGTAGGTTATATGCAAATAACACACCATTTTATACATGACTTGGGCACCCACAGATTTTGTTATCCAAGAGGAGTCCTGGGACCAATCCCTTGCAAATACCAAGGGATGACCCTAGAAACATCCAAGAAGCTCAACAGACTTCAAGTAAGATAAACTCAAAGAGACCCACCCCAAGACACATTATATCGAGACTTTCCAAGGGCAAAAGACAAAGAGATACCTTGAAAGCAGAGAGAAGTGACTCATCACACACAAAGGGACCCTCAGCAAGATGACGAGCAGATGTCTCATCAAAAAGTCTGATGGCCAAAAGGCAGTAGGCTGAGAGAGTCAAAGCACTAAAGGAAAAAAACCTGTCAACCAAGAATCCATGCCTGGCAAAGCTTTCCTTCAGAAGTGAGGGAGAAATTAAGGCATTTTCAGATAAATAAAATCTGAAGGGGTTTGTTGCCCCTAGACCTGCTGTTTAAGAAATGCTCAGGGGGAGTCCTGTGGGGTGAAATGAAAGGACAGTAACTCAAAGCTGTATAAAGAAACAGATCTCAATGAAGGGAAACACATGGGTGACTATAAAAGCTAGTATTATTGTAACCATGACAGCAAAATGACAGAAATAAGTTCCCCCTTGTCAGTAATTACTTTAAATGTAAATAGATTATGGGTGGGGAGTATAACTCAGTTGGAGGGCCCATTCTGGCATTCATGAGGTCCTGGGTTCAATCCCTAGTGCCTCTGTTAGGGGGGAAAAATGTAAATAGATTAAAGTCACCAGTCAAAAAACAGAGATTGGGAAAAATGGATAAAAATGCATAATCCAACTATATACTGTCTACCAGAAGTTGATTTTAGATCCAAAGACCGAAATAGATTGAATGTGTAAGGAAAGACAAGGATATTCTATGCAAATGGTAACCAAAAGAAAGCAGGGTAGCTGTACTAATATTAGACAAAAAAGACTTCAAATTTTTTAAAAAGTGATAAGAGACAAAGACGTTATATTTTAATAAAAGGGTGAGGAGTATGGAGTGTACTCTGAGGAAACTGCGAGTTGTTAAAGGATTTTGAGTGGGAGGGCCTCAGTTAGATGAGTGTTTTGAGGAGACTGCTGTGGGTGCTCGGTGGAGGGTGGACTTGAGGAGGTGGGCCTGGAAGTAGGGAGACTTGGGAGTCTGCAGCAGAAATCCCATAGAAGCGAACTGGTGGGGGCCTCAGGAAGTGGCTCTGGCTTTAGAGGGAAGCAGGGGTGGGAGCCAGGTGGGACAGGTAGGAGACAGGCTCACAGGATGGCTCAGGGTTAGTGATGGTGACTGGGCAGGGGTGCCACAGGATGGCAGCCTTGGCCTAGAGACTCCCACTCTGCCACACCAGGATGAGACAGGAGCCAGCTGGCCCCAAGGTCATGGTAATGCTACGAGACAGATTTTTACTGTCCCTATCTTACAAAGACAGAAAACAGGGCCCGGAGAGGTTACCTGACTTCCCCAGCACCACCCAGCTTGTGTAAATAGAAACACAAAAGTTCAAGGCAGGAGGAGGGGGTAGGCAGATGGGGAGAATGCAGTGTGTGTCCCACGAGGTAGAGAGAGGTGGTGTGTTGGAGGAATGGAAAGAGCCCACATGATGGCAGCAGAAGGTACGAGAGCAGTGTCCAGAGCTCCATGTCCATCCCCTGGGAACTGCTTATACCGTTATACCACCTACAGAGAGCTTGCTCTGGGCCAAGTTCCCTGGAAGAGCTTTACACACATTGGCTCATCTGAGTCTCACAAGAAGTCTAAGGCATACTCTGTATTTTCCCCATTGTTCAGATGAAGAAATTAAGGCACAGAGAGGTTAAGTAACTTGCCGTAGGTTACCCAGCCTGCAGTGGCTGAACCAGAATGGGACTGCAGGCCATGCAAGAGCCTGTGCTGCTCCTGCCCACCTCTCCCTGCTTTTTCTGAATCCAGCTTCAGCCTTGGGACGGGTTCTCTCCTGCCTGGAACCTTTCTGCCTTGATGTAAATCCTTGGGTTCGGGGCTCATCTCCCTTCCCTTACATGAATGGCCGGGGTGGGGATGGATGGGGGTCCAGCTGGAAGATGGGCTGGACTGCCTGAAGCTGTTCAGGCCTAGGGCCTCTGGCCCAAGCCCAACCAGATGGCCTGACCAGCCCCATCCCTCCCTCCCACAGTGTGCCTACCTCCAAGCCAAGAACTGCCAGGTGGAAAGCAAGTACCTGGCGGGGCTGCGGAGGCTGCAGGAGGCCATAGGGGGCGAGGCCAGTGAGTGCTCAGAGCTGCTGAGACAGCTCATCCAGGAGGCACTGCAGTGGGAAGCCGGCGACTCCTCTGCCGACAGCGTCGTGCTGAGCCCCATCAGGTAAGCCCAGAGCAGGGCTGGGTCTGCAGGACCTGGGGTCCCTGCTGCCAGTTGCTGCTGACCTTGTGTCACATCCCTGACCTCCTTGGGCCTTCAGACAAATGAGCATGTGGCTGGAATGAGCCCTGTTTCACAGCTGAGGCGGTGCAGGCTCAGCGGAGGCAGCCCCTTGCCCAAGGCCACACAGCACATTAGTGCATCTGACATGGGCCTGCCTCTAGAGTTCTGTTTTTCCCACCTCCCCAGGCTGCCCCCTAGAGGTGTTTGTCAGAGCCAAGCTTGCTGAGGACAGTGGACTTGGACAGTTAAATATAATGGAGGGGCTGTGGCTGGGGTTAAAGGCCCCTAAAGGTTGGGTGGTCCAGTGGCCAGAGCCCAGGCTTTGGAGCCACATCTGGCTTTGCCACTTTGGGACCCTGGACAAATCACTTTACCTTTGAGCCTCATATTCAGCGTCCGTTAGACAGGGGCTCAGATCCCTGCTTTGCAGGATCATGAGCATTAAATGAGATAGCACATACAGAGCACGTGCTAGAGGCAAATAAACATTGACTAAATGAAAGGCCATCTGGGTCGGGTCCCCAGCTTTCCTATTTCTGCTTGTTATTGGTTCTCTGTATTCCCCGTCTGCCCTTGGGCCTCCTGGCCATGGAAGTGGGTTTCTGGAATGGCAGTACAGGACACCTTGCGCCTAAGGCTGCATGGAGTAATAAGAGGGTGCTATATATTTGCACAGCATGAATGAGTAAATATCTTTTCAGCATTTACCATGTGCCAGGCAGTGTCCAGCCCCTAGCAGTTTACGTCAGAGGATCTCACTGGATCTTCATGAGGCCGAGCAGGAGTTCCTATGCCCATTGTACAGAGCAGACTGAGGTTCGGAGCAGGAAGTGACCTGCCCAGAGTTACAAGGCCAACCTGCAGTGAAGCCAGGCAGGATCCCTGCCTAGGGTCCACCCTCTCCCCACCGCCCCTTATCTGGGGAAGGGCCTTGCAGGGTGCCACTGACACAGGATTTTGCTGGCAGCGAGTACGACGAGTACGGCTTCCTGACAGTGCCCAACTACGAGGTGGAAGACCTGAAGCTGCTGGCCAAGATCCAGGCGCTGGAAGTGCACTCCCACCACCTGCTGGCCCACGAGGCGGTGGAGCGGCCGCTGCGGGAGCGCTGGGCAGCCCTAGGGGAGCTGGCCCCCTCAGCTGAGCTCAAGCAGCTGCTGCGGGCGGGCGTGCCCCATGAGCACCGGCCGCACATCTGGAGGTGGCTGGTCCGCTTCCGCGTCCAGCACCTGCAGGCCCCCGGCCGCTACCAGGAGCTGCTGAGCCGGAGCCAGGCCTGCAAGCACCCCGCCGCCCGGCAGATCGAGCTGGATCTGAACCGGACCTTCCCCAACAACAAGCATTTCACCTGTCCCACCTCCAGCTTCCCTGACAAGCTCCGCCGGGTACTGCTGGCCTTCTCCTGGCAGAACCCCACCATCGGCTACTGCCAGGGCCTGAACAGGTGAGCCACACAGCCCTACCTCCCAGGGCACCTCTCAGTCTCTTTGAACCCTCTCAAGAAGCTGGATGGGGCTTACGTACAGATGGGGACCAGCAGGTGAAAAGGACATGCTCAAGAAAGCACTGGCCCAGAGCCCCAGGCCTCCCGGTCCCGTGCCCTCTCCTGCAGTCTGCGCTCAAGGTGGTACTGCTCTCTTAGAGAGCATGCGAGCGGGCCCCTGGGGTTAAGTCACGCACAGCCAGCTCACGTATTGCACCACTGCCTGGGTCAGGGATCATTGCTTTAAACAAAACCCACTCAGAGGAGCCCAAGGAAAAGAGAATTTGTAAATATTACAGGGGAAGCTCCCAAAAGCCAGGAAAAGGAAATAGAGCTAGGGACCAGATGGTATTGGAAGCCAGGCAACTCTTTTCTCTAGTGGGGCCACAGTACAGCACAGCCCCAGAGGGCGCCATTCATGCCATTTTCCAAGGGGGTGTTGTCCCCTGAGACAGTGTAGCTCTCTGTGGGCTACGCAGTCTCTGGCCTCTCACAATACATGGCTGCTTCCTCCTCTCTCAGCAGACCCGCCTCTCTGCCTGTCAGTCTTTGGACATTTAGGGTCCATCAGGGCTGTCAGGATGGAAACCTCAGTCCCTGAGTTGAGCCTCTCAGCAACCGGCTTGTTGATACCTTCATGCCCCAGGCCTAAATTCCCAAAGAAAGGAATCTGGTCCAGCCTGGATTAATTTCTATTTCAGGTCCAACAGCAGGAGACAAGGGATGGGGGATGGGGTGGGGTGGCGTGACTTGGTAGGGCTGCTCCCACCAGTACTATGGGGAACTCTCACGGCTGCCCCCAGTTATCTTGATAGAAGTGGCATAATCTTAAATATTTCCCAAAGCAAGTTTTGACTCAACTCAATTTAAACACACATAATACCAAGCAAAATTTACATAAGCTATTCCGCTATTTTTCTTTTTTTTTCAAAGTAGGCAGTGTGTGACATTTATTTAACACAGAATAAATATTCAGAGTGTCCTTACACAAATTTGAATGATTCCCAAGGGTAGATATTTTTGATACTTTTTTTCAGCCTGAATTGGGTGGAATTGAGCATATACATGTACAATTACTGGGAATTCAGGGTTAAGCCCCAACATTAATACCTTTCAGTCTAAGGCTCTTAGAAAACATGTTCACATTTCATGCTGCTCTAAATGCCTGCTATAGGGGATGTCTGTAGAAATTCATTCATTCATTCATGTATTCAGCAGCCAAGCAGAAGCCTGTGCACTTCTCATCTGTTTGAACATGTTAAAATCCAGAAGGGACAAAACTTTGAATCCTCTTTGGATTTGAAGGGAGCTGGAAGCTATAGGATTAGTATGAATAATAATTTTTACATTTCTCGCAAAGGTCAGGAAGGAACTAAGACTTAAAGAGGGCCTCTTGGATGCCAGGCACTTTACATACCAGACACCATCTAAGCCTCATAAAAACCCTGCCAGGTGGGCATCAGTACCCACATTGTCCAGGTGAGACAAGAGAGGGTCTGAGAAGCTAAGGAACCTGCCTGGGCCTCACCATGCAAGGGGGCTGGGCCAGCTGCTCACCCTGGTCTCCAGCTCCCAGACCTCATCCTTCCTACCACCTGCCCTCACCCAGAATGGGAACTGTGGCAGAGAGTGTGCTGAGAGCTCCCAGAAACCTTTTTTCCTGATCAGATATAACCTTTTTTGAGAACAGGAATTCAGTTAGCCATATGTGGGCTTTGGAGTCTAATCTGTGCTGCAGGGGCAGAGGGGAAATCCTATAGCAGGAGGGGAGTCTTGAGGTCAGCCTCACAGAAGGAACAGCAGAGACCAAGAGGGGGAGACACCCAGAGGTATTTCTTTCCTTCTTTCTGTAAATGCTGCTTTTGCCAATAATTGGCATTTAGGAAGATAGTCATACTGTTGCTTTAAATAGAAAGTTTTTGAAATAGAGCCTGTTTAAATGTGGAGAGTGCACTGTATTCTTTTCAAGGCCCCTAAACCCAGCCGGCCGGCCCCTTTCACTCATCTGAGTGCTACTGTCTAGTGGCGGCCATTAGAACTGCATGTGTGGTGTCTCAAAAGAGGATGGAACCTGCTTTTATGCTACAAACCCAGCCTTGTTTGAGGGAGACAGATATAGTAATGATTTAATGCTGATTCAGAGCAAAAATTGTTAAATCCACATCTCTCTAAAATATAACAGGTGCTTTTTAAGCAGTTTTTTTCTTTCTCGCATCACCCTCCTTTACAGACCTACTTGGGCTTGAGTGTCTTCAGTTAGAGTCTGGCTGTAGCCCGAGCATTTGCTAGAATGCTTATTACTGACCTTTTTTTCCTCTTTTTCACCCCTTTTAAGTGCACAACTCAATGATCTCTAGTAAATTCATAGAGTTGCACAGCCATCCCCACAGTCCGGTTTTAGAACATTTCCATCACCCCTAAAAGATACCTTGGGCCCATTTGCTTCTATGAATCTGCTTGTTGTGGGCATTTCATTTACCAGTCATACAGTATGTGATCATTTGCATCAAGTTCTTTTGCTTAGCGTAGTATTCTTGAAGTTCAACCATGTCATAGCATGTATTTTTTTTACTGAGAAGCATTCCATCACATGGATGTGCCATATTTTGATTATCCACTAACCAGCTGATGGACATTTGGATTGTTTCTACCTTTTGGCTATTATGAATAATGCCATGAACATTCCTGGGCAAGTCTTTGTGGGAATGTATATTTTCCTTTCTGCCGGGGGCATTTTTTTCAACAGAGGCTCAATTTCCATTGTCTAAATGTACCATAACGTTTTTAAATCTTTTTTGTTTTGTTTTGTTTTGTTATGAGAATTCGGCCACAGATATTCTTATGTCTGGGCTATTCTGCAGCATTAAAACACAACTAAAAAAGTTTTAAAAGTCACAAGGAACACACATCTAAAATTTTCACTAGCCCAGAAAAAGTTCCCAGTACCAACAGGTGAGGCCCACAGAGTGGCAGGGAGGCCTGCTGAGGAGTCGGGGATGGGGCAGGAAGCAGAGGCCGGCCAAGGGTGAGGCAGCTTCCTGGGAGTTAAGCCTGAAGACAGGCACAGGCCAGCGAACCTTCCTGTGGCTATTAATGAGAACCTGTGGCCTGGGCCTCTTCAAGGGGACCAGTCTTTGGGAAGCTGAGAGCAATATGATTTGGAAACAAAGCTCATGGAAGTAAAAACAAGGTCCTTTGGCCTCCTCCACCAGGAGAAGGGGTCCTGAGTTATCCCACCAAGCATGTTGAGAGCATTCTTGGATTCAGAAATCATGTCATACCCTTGCCCCCAGTGGCATTACTGGGACTTGCAAAAACAGTGGTGTTGGTTCCCAAAGCCCCACGCCTTGCTTAGGGCCTTCCATGAGTGGCATCTTAGCAGGACTAAACCTCCCTTCTGACACAAAAGCTTTATCCTACCAGTTCAGGATTGAGTCAAAATATTAAAAATAGTACAAACCACTGAACATTACCAACAGCTCACATATCAAATCACTGACCTTTTACTGTGAGCAGAAGTCTGAGCTAATGCTGATAGCCAGCTCCTAACTGAGCACATCCTGAGTGAGGCTCTAGTGGAATGAGGAGGGATGGAGAGAACAGGCTGGACTTAGGGAGCCCTCGGTTCTATTTCCAGTCTGCTGCCACCTGACTGTATAGTCTTGAGCAAGTCAGTTTAGCTCTCTGGGCCTCAGTTTTCCTATTTCTGCAATGACCAGGGATAACCAGTAGGAAGTAACTGCCTGGAGCCTCGTCTTGTGAGTTTCTGAGGCAGCCTTCAGACTCAGTGGGAAAGAGTGCTGTGATCAATTAGTTATGTCTGGCCCAGGCACACACAAAGACAGTGGTGGCCAATGTATCACATTTGCTATCCCTGAGCTAAATAACCTCTGTAGGCCTTCCCACTTCTCCATCTCTGAGAGGGCAAAGACTCTTATTTCCAAGAGACCTGTAACTGTTCTCACCATCCACTCAGCTAGACTCCGGAGGACTTGGTACAAGTATTTTAGCTGGAGTGGAGAGAAATTCCTTCCCAATCTACTGGGGGGCAAAAAGGAATTTCTTTCTTCTTTTGAGAAACCCTGTTTCTAAAAAAAGCATGAACCTCAGAAGAGGTAATAAATCCAATCTAGTAAGAGCCCAGAGAAGCAGGAATATCTGGACAATGAAATGTGCTAAGTCCATCGAGAGCATGAGGCTACCCAGTCCTGAAAGCAGCCTCTGCCCAAGGAGATTCAGCAGATGCACTGTACACAGCCCCATTGGACAACCTTGTGTCAGTCACGTGGGGCTTTGTTACCATGGGATTTCTAAGAGGCTCTGGTAAGATACTGCATATCATGAGCCTCTAGAAGGGGGCTAGGGTATGCAGCATTCCTCACACATCTTTGAGTGGGACCATGTGCCCATCTAGCATCTTGAGAGACCAGTACATTCTGGGAAATGTATTCTTGGATTGGCCCTGGACGAGACCTGCCAGGGAAGGTGGGAGAAGAGAGAAAGCAGTGCTTCTTCCAGGCAGACATCCCAGCTCAGCACTGTGGGCTTTTCTTCTTACCCGTGATCTCATAGAGACTTGTGATAACTCTGGAGAGGGGAAGCAAAGGAGAAAAAGAACTCCATTTATTGAGCGCCTGGTATATGCCCAGACAGTGAGCAAGGCACTGTATGTCAAACGCCTCCCAGTCCTGGGAGGTGGATACTGTTAACCCCACTTGACAGGTGATGGAAGTGAGGCTCAGAAATGAGCACACTTGCCAAAGTCTCAAAGCCCGAGGATATTAAGATGAGGTTAGCTAACATTTATAAAGCGTCTCACTATGTATCAGGCACTGTGCTGGGCAGTTAAGGTGTAGTTACTCTGTTAACCCTTGTAACAATCCTGTGATAATTATGAGGAGGCTAAAGTTCAGAGAGGTTAACTCTCAGTCACCCAGCAAAGAAGCAACAGGACCAGCATTCACACCCAGGCAGTGGGACTCCAGAGGCCCTGCTCTAAGGTGATTCCCGTTGTTCTAGAAATCCCCATGGTAGTCCTCTTCAAAAGCATGTCCGTCTCACCCTAGGTACCAGGAACACCAGCCTGATTAGGAAATGGTGCTGGGCAGGACATCCCCTGGGTAGCCACCTCTGCCAAGGGCTGCCTGGTTATAACTTCCATGGGTCACCCAGGTCTCCTTCCCTCCCACTCCAGACTGGCAGCCATCGCTCTGCTGGTCCTAGATGAGGAGGAGAGTGCCTTCTGGTGTCTGGTGGCCATCGTGGAGGTCATCATGCCAGCTGATTACTACAGCAAGACGCTCTTGGCATCCCAGGTGAGCAGGGCAGGGATGGGACCTGGAGCCACGCAGGTCAGTGCCCCTGTGTTGTTCCGAGAAGCCGGTGAATCTCAGGAAAGTCAGTAATGTCTCAAGCCTCTAAATCTCCCTCTGTACAGTGGGCTGCTGTGAAGTTCCAGTGAGCTGATGGCCTTGAGAACTGTGGGGGCCCTGCCCACAAGATAGACCATTGTTTTTCCAGTGGTGATGTGAGGTCATTAGAAACAGTTGATTTCCTGGAGAGGGGAGGAGAATATAATCTAATGTCACTTGGTATTTGCCAGTCAAGAATTTCAAAACAGAGGTCAGGTAGGGTGGAAGTCGGGACTGGGAAGATGGGAGGTGACGGAAATTCTTCACGCACGCTCACCACAGCCTCCTGAGCAGCACAGCTGCCTCCGTCACCTCGTGGCCCCTCGGCTGCCCTCCGAGCACAGGCCATCCTGGAGTCAGGCGGAGCTCGGTTCAGAAGTGACCCTCCAGTAACCAGCCGTGTGCATAGCAAGCGGCATCATCTCTCTGAAATTCGGGCTTGCCAGCTTTTGGATGGGAGTAACGTTACTTCCTGGGCTTGCTGAGAGGTATAAATGGGAAACCATTTCAAACCTGCCACCCCTACCCCCAGCCTCTCCCTCCTCGCCCCTTGTCCCATTCTTGCTCCATCAGCGCATGTGCTTTATGGAGACAGGCCACCCAGAAGGAACCTTCTCACTCCCCTTCCAAACCTACTAAGCCATTACCCGCCCACCCATCCTGTTCTTTCCTACTGCGAGCACCGAGCACCAAACACTGCTTCCTCCTTCTGGGACACAGACCTGGGTGGGGAGGTGAGGAGAGAGATTAGGGATGGAGATCAAAACTTAGGAGTCATCAGGAAATAGATGGTGAACCAGATAAGGATTGTGTGTGGCTGTGTAGCAGGGAGACCCAACCTAACAGTGGCTTAAATGGGGGATTATTTTTCCCAGATAATGAAGAAGCTGAAGGCTCCTTCCAGCTCTCTGTTCTGCAACATGACTTTCATTCTCCTGCTCATCACCTCGTGGTCACAAGATGGCTGCACCACCTCTGGCACTGTGGCCATGGTCCAGGCTGAAAGAAGCAGAGGGTGAAAGGCAGGCACCGGCTGGCTCCCCTTCCAATAGCCTTCCCCACCCAGCAACTTCTGCTTACCTCTTATTGGTCAGAACTGTGTTGCATGGCACCTCTAGTTGCAAGGCAGGCTGGGAAATATACAAATATTTTACTTTACAACTATTTCACTATCACATTTTAACATCTCTGGAATTGAGGTATATTGTATAAACCAATGTGTTATGGTGTGTGTTTTGTTTGTTTTGTTTATTTTTAGTACGGAAAATTTCAAATGTACCAAAAAATAGAGAAAACAGTGTAGTGAACTTCCATGTATCCATTACCTAGTTTCAATAATTATCAACATAGGAAGACCAGTGCTGTTTCACCTACACTCCCACCCACTCCTTCTTTGATGACCTGGAAGTATATCTCAGACATCATATCTGTTCATCTATAAATCCTTCAGTAGGTTCAGTGGCATCTTCGATTCAGTGAGTTGCCCTAGGTTTTGAGCTGGACACTCGGCCTCTGCAGCAGACCTGGAGTTCAGAGAGAGGAAGGGAGGGAGAGGGCATTCGCCACAGCTGCTGGCTAAAGTCCAGAAGAAGGCTTAAATGGAGGGAAAGGGCTGAGAAACCAGCAGTTCCAGGAAAGGAAGAGCAAGAGGAGCCTAACATAGGCTTGTCACAGAGGTAGGGGGCAGCCACAAAAGAACCATATGCCAGAGCCAGGGAAGGAGGCAGTTCTGGGAGTAATCAGCCAGGTCAAGTGCAACATTGACGGAGGTGTAACAGTAACCATGTGGAGAGTTCACTAGAAACCTCACCCAGCAGCATCACCCTTGATGTCAGGTGTGGTTTCCCAGACACCCACCCACAAGACCTTGCCCTGAGCATCTTGTGCATCAGGCCCAAAATGGGTAGCAAGGAGCAGCCGTGGTGTCAGCCGATAAAGCCTGAGCTCCTACTTGGCTTGACGTTCAGGGGGACAAAGGGCCAGAAGTCCACTGACCGAGAACTTATGATCCACAGAGACCTCCACATCAAAGCTCTAGCCTGAAAAGCTGCTTGCCTGTGGAGTGACCTGTCTCCTGGCCAGGCTGGGCTCTAGCTCCTCCAGGCGCTCTGTGCTCCCAGGCAGGGCAGGACCCACTGGGGGAAGCTCCAGGGATGTGTGTGTGTGGACTGGCTGGGTGTGAAGGGGCAGGTAGGAGGGAGGCAGCACCTTCTGTGGGGCGGCAGCTGACAGCCCTCGCGTCACTTGCAGGTGGACCAGCGGGTTCTCCAGGACCTCCTCTCAGAGAAGCTGCCCAGGCTGATGGCCCACCTGGGGCAGCACCGTGTGGACCTGTCCTTCATCACCTTCAACTGGTTCCTCGTGGTCTTTGCAGACAGTCTCATCAGCAACATCCTCTTCCAAGTATGGGATGCCTTCCTCTACGAGGGCACCAAGGTAGAGCACTGTAGGGGATGTAGGAGATGGGAGGGTGCGCAGGAGGGTCCTGGCCAGGTCTCTGCATCCCCTGGGTCTCGATTCTGCCCCTAGACAATGAGAGGACAGTGCTCACTGTCAGGTCTGTGGAAGACCTCTCCTGGGAGCATGGCTTTGTAAGCTCAAGTGCTTTGCACCCATGAGGGAAAGTAGTGCTTCTGCCCCTGAAGATGAATCCTAAAGTTGAGGGGATTTCCTTTCCCTGGAGAGGAGGCACGAGCATGACCAGGAGGGAGGTCGCTGTTCCATCCCTTGCCCCTCCAGCACCCAGGCCCCACCTTCTCCTCCTCCTGTTTGGACTGAGCCCCAGACTGAGAGGCTGGCACTTGAGTCTGGTCCCAGCTCTGCCCCTTACCTTGCTAGGAGATCCTGGACAGGCCATCCCCTAGCCTCTGCCCCGTATCCATGGTGATTGATAATGTACTGCACCTCACAGTTTACCCAGCACCCTCAGATCTGCCTCTCCATTCAATTCCTGCTGATGCCCCATGTAAAGACAGTGTTACCCCGAGTTAGGTCCAATAAGGGCAAGACCTTGCCCAGGGTCCCAGGACTAGTCAGTCCTAATCCCCAGATTCTAAGCTGTGTTCCCCATGGGGTTTCCAATCTCCCCCTCCCCTTGGCCTTCCCCTACAGTTTCCTCCAAGCCTTCAACCTCTGCAGCCTGCCTAGGGACTTCCACACCACCTAGGGGTGTGGGCTCTACTCCCTCTGGGGATTCCCTGCCCTGGTTCCCCACACCCAACCTGAGCCCCTACTTTGCCCCCCAGGTGGTGTTCCGCTACGCCTTGGCCATTTTCAAGTACAACGAGGAGGCGATCCTGAGGCTGCAGGATGGTCTGGAGATCTACCAGTACCTGCGCTTCTTCACCAAGACCATTTGCAACAGCCAGTGAGAACCTGCTCCTGCCCCCACCCTGCCCCTCCACCACACCCACCACCCACACATGCCCACCCAGGACACATAGCAGAGAGGAGGCTGGTGTTTCCAAGTGTGGGTTGATTAGTGCTGCTAATCCTCCGTTACAGCTTTGAACTGTCTCTAGGGACTTTCCTCAGCATCTTTCTGCCCCTTAACACGACACTTGAGGCCTCCATGCAGTTTGATTTCTTGCTCACCTTTTCCTGCCCCCAACACCCATGCCCTATGATCTTGCCAAACAGAATTATTTGAGTTACCAGGACAACCTCCATCTCTAGGCTTCTGGCCTTGCAGCTTCTTCTTCTTGGACTGTCTCGTTACCTCTTCCACCACCACCATCTTTGCCTGGACTACTTCTACTGATTTTTCAAAACTCAACTCACTTGTCCCCTCCTCCAAGAAGTCTTCCCTGACCAACTTTTCCTTCCCATAGCCCTAAGCTCCCTCCTGCCTCAGTATATGTCACTTTGGGTGGAAATTATCTTCTTATTCACTGTTTCCTCTCTGGAAGGGGCCTCGGCTGCATGAGCGGAATGAACGCAGGGGTACCTGGGACTGTTGGAGAATGTGGGCCCGGGGCGGGCACTGGCTCTGGGCTGACTGTGCTCTCCCCACAGGAAGCTGATGAACATCGCCTTCAACGACATGAACCCCTTTCCTATGAAACAGCTGTGGCAGCTGCGGACGGCCCACCGGGAGCGACTGGAGGCTGAGCTGCACGAGCTGGAGCAGTTCAAGGCAGAGTACTTGGAGACCCGGACGTGCCAGGGCCCCGCGGTGCCCGAGAGTTGCACCAGTGAGGATGAGGGGGACTTGGAGGCCTGACTTGGTCACCTGCCCTCCCCAAATCCCTTTCTCACCCTTGGCTGGCAGGCCCATAGGACAGCCATGGAGGTGATCCAGGCCCCCTACCTAAGCCCCATCACCATGTGACCCTAGGCAAGTCCCTACCATTCTCTGGGACTCAGTCACCCCATTGGGACACTGGCTTCTGAAGCCATTGGTTGGGTTATCTGCTCATGACACGTCTCCAGGATGCACCCCTTCTCATTCCTCCATAGAGCACTTTAGTACACAGACAATCAAGAGTGCTGTCTTTATAGGGTAACCTGAACATTCCCCAGGTTTTTTCTGTGTAAAACAGTGTAAATATTGGAAATAGTTCATAGTCTTTGGAATTTAACTGATTCTCAGTAACCAGTTGTTCCTGGGTGGGCCGGAGGCTCCAGAGTGTTTCCAGCCTGGGACGTCCCTGGCTGCTCTTCCTGTGGGCGCCTCTGCAGTGCCAGTCCCCCTCCTGGTTCCTGGAAGAGCTGGGACCCTGTGCATTTAGGGCTTCTGTCTTTCTGGGTGACACTGCCTCTCCAATGCTGGTGGGGCCTTTGTTCCAGGCCCGGCTCCCACCTAGCGAGGCCTGTTTCCTGAGCCTTGCCCCTGTTCTCTCCTTTCTGCTCACAGCCCATCTAGGGGTGGGAGTGGGGGGCATTTCCTGTCCACCACCAAGAGGAACTTGGTGTGGGGGCCTGGGCAGAGAGCCCTGGGTCAGGTGCCCAACTGCTGATCTCCCATCACCAACTTCACAGGCAGGGGCAAGAAAAGTCATGTCTTTGAAAAATGTTTGGTTGGGAGGGGGAGGAAAAGGTGGTGAGAGGGACAGAGCTGCAGCCTGTTGCCAAGTCAGGGCTGGCTCATCACAGCACCCACGTGTGCAGAACTCAGCTCCAGTTCTCCTGGGCTCTTCCAGGCCCTTCCTCAGCAGACAAGCTTCCCGCATTTGCCTCAAGGCAGAGCGCCGAGGCTGCACAAATGACTTTGGCAGCTCATTTCTCAGCAAAGCCTGTGCAGGGCTCAGCAGTCTTTGGTATGAAGGACTGGGGTGGCGTTTCCCTGATCTGGGGCTCTTGTCAGGGCAGGGGAGGAAGCCATGCCCGTTACTGGGGACCAGGGACAGACCCCTTTGTGACCCACAGGTCCCCCCTCCCCCTTCCCCGTGCCCCCTCCAACAACTCTGGGGAAGGGACCCTCAGGGTTTCTTTCGTGCCACATGCGCGTGGGCTACTGGCCGGCCCGGTTTCCTGTGAACACCTCACACCTGGGCTTGATGGCCTTTCTCATTTTTGCTGAACTTTTTTCATCTGCTGAGGTCCTTTCACCATCAAACAGTAACTGTTTAGCATGATAGTGACCGGACGGTGACCTGGTGGAGGTCCTGGCTGCACCAGCAACAGGCTGCGTGCTGTAACCCTGAGGGTCATCACCGGGGAGACAAGGGGTCCAGCCTCCAGGAACTCTGAGAGGGTTAAAGGCGATGACACTGGTGCTGAGCCTGGTGCTGGCACAGACTGAAGCACAATCACAGGCCATAAGTGGCCTTTTCACGAAGAAAATGTCACCAGGAGGGCCCTGAGGCCTAGAAAAGGCCCAAGGCTCTAGGAAAGAATAGGTCCAGCTGGTCCCTCAGACTCTAGCCTTAAAATCAAGTTACGTCCTCAGCAGAAAATACAGCAAACAATCCCAGTTCAGACAGAGGCTGCCAGAAAAATGGCCCCCTCTTCTCCCTTCCCTCCTGCTACCCCCTCCCCCCGTCTTCCTCTGCCCCTCTCCTCCTCTTCCCTCTCATCTCTCCCCTCCTCTCCTCTCCACTATTCTCCCCCAACCTCCATCTTTCCCACACACATTCAGACAGGGAAGCTCTGCCCAGAGCTGGGTGCCTACCCCCACTTCCCCTCCCCTACTGGAGGGAGGGGTGGTGCTCTGCAGCTGGTCCAGCACTGGGTCACCTCTGGATCCTACCTGGCTGCACCATAGAATCACCTAAGTGCTGGCCCCCCACACTCAGAGCCTACTGGGGGGCATGGGCATTGAGAGAGTCAGAGACCACAAGTAATGGGGAGTGATTGGCGGGGCCTCCTACCCATTACCAGGGAGCTGGAGCCAGAGCCAGGAATGAGAACTGCCTGTCCTAGAGCACCCACTCACTCCAGGCCAAGCTCAGTTTACAGATGAGGAGACAAGGCTCAGAGAGGTTAAACTACTTGCCGAAAGTCACACAGCCACTGAGTAGTTAAGACATGCTCAAGCCTTAGAAGTGATAACTGCAAAACCAGGGAGGGATCCTCCAAGCTCAGGAGCCTTCTCTGGATCCTGAAACACCTCCCCCAAGAGCCCAGGGGAAAGGGCAAGGCTAGCCTACAACCTCCTGAGTGGTGTAGGGCCCGTGAGGATAGCTCCAGGGAGAGGAAAATGGGAGGAAGGACCGTCCACCTGACAGGGAAGCTGTAGCAGGGACTGGTGGGGGTAGGGCCAAACCCCAAGAATGTCTGAGGCTGCTGCTGCTCCTAGGGAGACTGCCTACCCCCCCCAGCTCTTCCTGAAAGGCATTTGGGGCCCACCCCTGGTGTCAGGTTCCTGGCCCTGCACCATAGCTGTCGCCCCTCATCCCCAGGGGCTGCTGCCTTCCAGGGCTAGAGGATCTGATCCATCACAGCCCTACCTCCCTACCCCAGGGGATGGGCCCTCTAGCTCAAAGCATTCCTCTCTCAGACATAGGCCCCGGGCAAGCTCACGTCCAAGCTCCATTCCATAGGGGAGGAGAAAGGATTTACCTGGGGAGCCTGCCTGGGGCAATATCCACCCAGAGTAAGACTCCTCAAAACAGGAGGGAGGGCCTGGAGGGCACTTTGGAAGACCCTTCCCCACCGCAAAGTGGGAGATGCACACTCACTTCTACAGAATGCCTGTGTTTAGGGTACTCTCCCCCATATTCAGAATCTCACATCCCAGGCACTGCTGTACCCTCATTCTTTCTCAGCTAAATCTGCACAGGGCCATATTGTACAGAAAGCTCCATGCTGGGCAGGTAGAGGAGAGAACTTGCCCCTCCACCCCCACACACACGTTCTGGTTCCCCGTTAGACACTGACTCACACATGGCAGATTAAACAAAGCAGGCCATGTGGACATAAGAAGATGTTGGATTTCTGGCCCATCCCAATCAGCAATAAGGCCCAATAGAAAGTGCTAGTAGATGGGCTCAACTTCGTGACCAGACCTATTGTGTCATTTCCTAGCTAGGGACCCGTGTGCATGTCATCCCTTCTCGGGCCTCAGTTTCCCATGTGTGCAATTCACATGGTTAGAGGGTAGCCTTCACCAAGTGGACCAGAGTCAGAGGGAGGGAAGGGTCAGGAGAATGAGGAAATACACACAGCATCTCTAGGAAGAGCCCATGTCATGTATTACAGAGGACCAATGGCCTCCCCTCTGGTCCATATGCCCATGGTCCCCAGAGAAATCCCTGTCAAACCAGCCTTTCCTCAAACACAGTCCCAGCCACCTACCATAGTGACACAGAGTGGGAAAATGCATGTCCACAAGGGATCTGGGAAGCCTTCCTGGGGAAGGACGTATGAGTCTGGTTAGACAGTAGGAGATGATGTGGGGAGAGAATTCCTGACAGAGGACAATGTGAACAAGGGCACAGAGGTGTGAGTGCAAGGGAGTGGGGGATGCACCAGAGTTACTGGCCCAAGTCCTAGGTGAATTAAGACATTCAGGTGAACTACCACTTACTGAGCCAGGCACTGCTCTAGTCCCTGGAGATACACCACTGAACAAAGAGCTTTTTTCAAAAGAGGTGGTGTGATATAGTAGCTACGAGCTTAGGCTTGGGAGCCACACTGCCTACCTGTGTGATCTTAAGCGAGATACTTCTCTGTGCCTCAGAGTAAAATAGGTGTGTCATACGTAACCTCGTAGGCTTGTGTGACGGTAAAGTGCGGTGATGCGTTTAAGGTGCCTAGAACAGTGTCTGGCTCTTTAAGGGTTAGGTGGTATTACTAAAAGGCTGGGCCTCCTCATGGAGATTATCTAGTGTGTTCGATCCCAAAGCTGGCGAGACTGGGCAGCAGCGCCCTCTCCTGGCTACCGAGAGAAAGAAGAGCATCCTCCCCATACTCAGCAGTTCTCCCTGCCCTCTTCCTCCCGGAGGACCGGGAAGCCTCGGGAATTACACTACCGGCGCAGGTTCACCGAAAAGACTCCTGTGGCGGACTCTGAGCGCGCACTTTACCGGGCCGTAAATTAGATCCTCTCATCTAATTCTCAGACAGCTCTCTGAGGCAGACTCGATTACTGTTTACATTTCACAAAAGGAGGCTCCCGGGAGGCAAGTCCCTTGTCCCATGTCACTCAGCCAGGGAGTGGCGGGACGTGAAGGCAGGCGGGTGAGACTGTCTCCAGCTTCTGCTTGGTCGCCAGGCAGCCTGCCCCAATCACTACGGCGTGTGAGCGCCGGTGTGCGCGCCCGTTCTGTGTGCGTGTGCGCGCCCCAAGACCAGCTCTGGGGGGCCAGGAGCGCGGCCGGGGAGGTGAGGAAGGAGGGGTGGCCCCTCAAACTCCGG